GTCATATCTGGATAAATGGAACGCGATTCTCGGCGAGTAAAGTAATGGCAAAAAACTGAGTGTTCTACAAAAGTACGTTTAACGAGCGCGGGACAAAAGACTGGAGGGCAGAGGGTCCGAAGGAAGCGGCTGGGCACGTCGAATGGGATTGCGCGCGTAAGACGAGCCGCTCGAATGGAATCGTTCAAAGGACTGAACGTATTTTTCGAGGCCTCGGACACACACGTTCCTGGTCTCTGTCTACCCCGGCCCGTGAAAACCGCTTTTAACTCGTCCCAGTTTTCGAAACTTTCCGCGACGAAAGAACGAAATCCAGTGGACGTCCGACGACGACGACGACGACGACGACGACGACGACGACGTCCGGACCGGAGCGAAACTCGGAATGGCTTTTTGCGGTTCCGTAGGTGGCAAGATGAAAGGCGAGTTATTTGTCTTTTGCCGATGAACGACAAAGGCCAGTTACGAAAGCCCCGGACTCTTTCTTTGGAATGGACCGGTTCTCTTCTTCGTTTTTCCCTTTACGCTCGACGGTGTAATCGTTATCAATGTCCTGGATCTACTCACGGCAAAATGGTGTTCTTCAACGGTACGGATAGAACGTCCGAGTGCCGAGAAATAAATGAAGACGGATACCCGGGTCGGGACGAATCGCGCCGTTCGTTCTAATCAGAAATTATCTGCATAGTCCGGTGGAACGAGGAGGAAAAATACGAATTTATTCGCCGCTGCGAGAAAAAGGGAACGTCAAGTATTTGCAAACTGGCAATGTTTATGCAAGCACGTGATTAAAGAGGCAGCCGGAACGCACGCGTCGAACCAGGTGCACGCAGGCTGCATTAATAAACCCGGTGTTTGCGCGAGTAACGGGCGCCGACTTAAACGAATAACTTCGTCTCTCTTGCAACGAACTACTTACTTGATTAGGATCCCGGGATAATTTCAGAACCGGCGGAGATACGGGATGTACACGTCTACGTCGGCAAACGGAAGAAGTTGCACCCGAACGAGTTAAAGAGTTTGCGCGAGCGCGATGGGAGAGTAATGGAAAATCTGTCGGGGAAAGTGGCCGATCTCGGACGTAAACAGCTGAGATAAAATGACTGTAAACATCGTACGGAATTGTTTTCGATGCTTTTTAACCAGCATCTGGCTCAGTTTCCCTGGTTTGACAAACAGTAAACAATTAAACAGAAAACTATTGAATTACACTGTCACAGAAGTTACAAACATTAATACTAAAATTGATATTAATTCGGTGAAGAGTAAGCGTTGTAAGAATTGTAATTCTTACGACACTACACAGGATCATCCTTCGGACGGTATGAGACTATGAGGCCAGCACGTTTTGCCGTCACGTCACGAACTAGCGGGGATAGACCTTAACTGGGTTTGCGACCGAGCTGCTCGCGGGGGAGATGGTCGCTACTTAAGCGCAGCCAGCAATTTAATTTCGTTGGAACAGAGTGCGGGGTAGGAAACGAGAGGAAGGGTTGGACGCGGGCCACCGCATTATTGCTTTGGCCGCAGCACAATGCACCCGGTTTTTCGGCGCAGCTACCGCGCGTGCATCGCGAGGCCAAATCGTGCGTCAGCCCCTTTGAGCCTCTCAGAGGGTTGCCACTGCTAACCATTAAACAGCGCGGGGTAACTACGATCCGACGACCTTTCGGATGAAAACATTTTTGCAAGAATTGTGAAACAGCCGGAATAAAAAAGTTTAGCTGCTTTTTTAACTCAACGCGTTTTAAGATGGAAATATTTTTAATGAAGGCAGCGAACGTTCGTAGAATTTATAGTCTTCCTACAATTAAGAGTACCACGTCGATGGAATGCGCTGACCATTTTAATTACTGGCCTCCGTCACGGATGAAAAATACGTTCTGTCGAATTTACAATTTCTGCAGATCAAATATAAGCGAGATCTTGACTTTACGTATTTTTCATTTTGTCTGGGGATCCGTTCGACACTCGGTGTGTCAGTCGCACGCGTGGAATATTTTAAAGTCGAATATATCGAAGGGATCCGACTGTAAAGATCAACACGGTTCGTAAAATCGAAACGTTATTTTCTCAGTTAGAATTGAACCCGTTCAGGGGTTATTCAAGCACCGAGGGCCGACAATCTGGCCTGGACTCTATATTCTCTGAACCGTAAGACGAAGACCACGGCTTGAATCCCCTTTACTAGCTACCCTCGTATCGCCGGGGCTGCAGGCCTCTCTTCAGCCCTGGCTGCAACTTTTCTATAGGGCCAGACATACGGTCAACATCGGTCTTTGTTTCGACGAGGGTCGTTCACGTGCCGCTTTCTTCGCTTCCTTCCTTCCTTTCTCTTGTGGACGTTCTCATACTCACTCGTGGTCGCGTCGTGATAAGAAGTAGAACTGATAAAATTTCTGGATTCCCCGATGAAACCGATACGAGTTCGATATAATACCAGATTAATTCAACCGTTCAATGGTTTACAACATACTTGGTATTTGTAGTTCCCTTGAAGATAGTTTAGTAC